TCCGGCCCAGCTCCCTGGGCCAGCAGTGAGTTCAGCCTCACCTCCACACACTGCCCTTGTGTCCATTTCCAACAAGTGGCCCGTTCTCCACCCTCCCTGCCGCCTGCCGCCGCTGTGATGGCCGTGCTCAGGGTAGATGCTTATTTTTCTTACTGACACCCAGCCAGAAGCCTAGGGTTGTCCCTTTCCTACTCGAAGTTTCTCCTTAAGCAAACAGATGTTAACCCTGGTCTGGGTGCTTTTCACTTTACTCTTAGGCTGGTAGACTCCTCATTTCCACCTTACCACCCAGCAGGATTTCTGTGTGTGTGTGTGTGTGTATGCATGTGTGTGTACACGTGCATGTGCACTCACATTTGAATGCACATAAATAGGCACTTCCCTCTGTCTGTGTTCTTGTGATGTCAGGAGTTCAAGTCCCAGTACAGCCAGCAGCAACAACAACAAAAATACACAGAGGCAAATGCCTATCTATGCTTGCTTTTTTTTTTTCCTTCCACTCACATCTGGGCTCCACCACTTAAGCCATGCCTCAAGTTCTGACTTTTTTTGCTGATTAACTGGAGCTAAGAGACTTGGATTTGTTTACCTGGGCTGGCTCTGAACCGTGATCTTCAGATTACAGCTTCCTGAGTGGCTAAGGTTATAGGCATGCACCACTAGCACGGGCTTCACCCTTGGGTTTTAAATTGTGACTGGCTTCTGGAGCCTTACCTGCTGGCTCCATCTCCTGCTGGCTCCATCTCCTGCTGGCTCCATCTCCTGCTGGCTCCATCTCCTGCTGGCTCCATCTCCTGCTGGCTCCTTGGCTTCCCATAGCCCCTGGCTTGGGTCCCAGCATGAGGGGGATCCTGAGATTATACCTATCAGCTGTGTGGATTTCCAGCTTTGCAAATGGAGTACACTCTTCAACCTCTCAGCCTCCACCAGAAATGAGGATGATGACGATCTTAGGTTATTTATTCTAAGCACCCTTTCTGTGGTACCAGAATACAGTCTTTGGGGAGAATGCCCTGAACATGACAGGTTTTTTTCTTTTCCTGGACTCACATCCCAGAATCAAGAGAGCTGGGCAGGAAGTAAGTCAATGCATAGAAACTGAGTTTCAGTTCTGCTGGGTGCTCTGTGCTTCTGAGGAGTGTGAGAGCCAAGTGGTCAGAGAGAGTCTCTCTGGGAGGCAGCATCCTGGTTAAAACTTTGAATGGCAGATGAGGCCGTCATGAACAGATTTAGGAAAAGAGTATTCTAGGCCAAGGGTACAGCTGGTGCAAAGGCCCTGAGGTGGGAATGAGCTCAGGGAGCAGAAAGAAGGCCAGTGTGGCTGATGAGGGTTGCGAGGGGGTGGGAGGGTGGAGGGGTAGGTGGAGGAGGAGCGAGGAGGACAGCAGAATGAGCTCAAGCAGAGCCTTTTTAGGCCATCCTGGGAGACTGGATTCTAGTCTAAGGGTGATGGGAGGTGTTGGAGGGTTATGAAAGAGGGAACCATGTGATGCAATTTGTGTTTTCACAGTTCACTCCAGCTGCCGTGGGGAAAGTGGGGAGGGGGACAAGACTGTCTGGGGGAGCAGCTGAGACCCAGGAAGTGTGTGGCTTAGCAGTCAATCCTGGCCTAGCCAGGGCTCCACTGTCTTCGTGGTCTCCCATCTAGACTGATGCCCAAGGTCACCCCAAGGGCTGTGAATGCTAGGAACCTCCGACTGAAAAGGGGCCTGGATCAGGCTGAGGGAGGCTTCAGGAGAGCCTGGCTAGTGCCAGCCTGTCCTTTTCAGAAGTCCCTTTGGGATGGGTGCTCAGTGGCCCAGCTCTATTTGGTCTTGCCAGCAGGGCTGGGGGCAGGCAGGGTCATTGCTTTGGGCTGAGCCTCCTCTTTGAGGATTTGGGGCCTGGGTCTCACGGAGGGTCTGATAGTGGGCCTGGAAACAGGCTGATCTTGCACTTCTAGCTTCTACTTTTTGAGGCAGATCACGGTTTGATCTGAAGCAAAGCCATTGTAGGCTCTGGGCCTCAGTCTACCCATCTGTCCAATGTGTGGGACTTGTTGCCCTTCATCTTGGGTCTCTGTGGTGAGTTTGCCTTCCCCACGTGGTGGTTCTCTCAGAGCTCTGGAGTTCTCTCCCCTGGCGTGGGGGAGGAGAGCATTCTGGGGACTCAGTGCTCCCATTCTACAGATGGTTGGAAGATATGAGGAGACTCTGAGTAGATTCTGAGTCAGAGTGAGAGCCTGGGGGCTTTGCTTTATGCTTCTGCCCTGAAAACTTCCCCTTTGGACACCTCTCTTGGGACTCTGGCTCTGGGCATGAGGGCATGACTGGCCCTCAGCCCAGGCAGGGACTCTGGGCCCCTCTGTCCAGAATAGAGATCAATGCTGCTCCTTGTCTTCCCACCCCAGAAACTGAGGACACGGCTCAGCGCCCAGTGTTGGCAGACCCACCATCCTGCGCCCAGCTGCAGGAGGACATGGCAGGGCAGGTAGGGCCTGAGCTGGCCAGAAGCAGCTGCTGGGGCCTGGGGGTAGTAGTGGCATAAGGATTTTCAAAGAGGGCCATTTTTGCGTGTGTGTGTGTGCCAGTACTGGGGCTTGAATTCAGAGCCTGGGTGCTGTCCCTTAGTTTTTTTTTTCCTTCAAGGTTGGCATTCTACTACTTAAGCCACAGCTCTACTTTTAGCGTTTTGGTGGTGAGTTAGAAATAAGAGTCTCATGGACTTTCCTGCCTGGGCAGATCCTCAGATCTCAGCCTGCTGAGTAGTTGGGATTACAGGCATAAGCCATAGTGCCCAGCTCAAAAAGGTCCTTTATGTCTTCACACTCTTGACTTTAGAGCTGATGCAGACTGAGAATCAAGTGAAACCATTTTATGCTCAAATCTTGGGTTTCAATGGGGGCTCAGGCACAGCCTTGACCAGAGGGGACCCCACCATGCCAGGTAAGGGCTCAGGAGTGTGAAGCCTCCTGGTGGAGGCCAGGTGAAGCTCTGTGCCTCAGAGCCAGTGCCTATGCCAGCCCTGGCTGCAAAGTAGGCCAGAAGACTAGAATGCACGCCAGAGGGCTGAAGGCCTCCTCTCTTCTCTTTCCTTTCCATGTGCCTCACCCTCTTCCCCTCCCCCAGCGGTAGTCATAGTTGGGGAGGTGACCTTTTGTCGTCCCTCCTTTGGGTACATGACCGGAGGGAATGGATTGAAATAGCACTGGCAGCAGTAGGGATGTAGGGCAGACCAGAAAGACTCCTTCACACTGTGCTGAGCTCCAAGGGTCCCTGGGGTCCTCAGAGCAGGGTCCAGGCTTTCAGATTTTTTTCAACAAGATTTGTGGGCCTTTCCTTGTTTATTTTTAGTAAGTAAAATCTTATTCTTGTGCAGTAGCCAAGAAGTTCTAAGAGGTGAAGGTCAGTATGGGTGGGTCAGATCCCATTCTCTTTTACTGTATATGCTCAAACTCTGGGTTAAATGAGTTGTAACCAGGGCACGGTCTCTTGAGTTTCCCTGGAAGGCCCAGAAGTCCTCAGAGAAGTGACTCCACCATCCTCTTTGAGCCCATCTTCTCTAAGTGGGAAGTCCTTTTGGGGTCTAATGGGTGTTTCTTATGCTTATCTCATCATGAGAGTAACAGATCATCATGCCCTTTCTCCGTAGAGTCTGGTTCAGGAGGGAACAGGACCTGGAAAGTTGTGTTTGGAGTTGTCAATGAGACTAATAAACACATACATACAGGAAGTTTGGGCTCACATCTTTGTCACTGCATCTGTGGTGTGTCATGTTGCAACCTAGAAAGCTGACCATTCTTCCCTTCCTCCAGTCTCTCCTGGCTCCTCAGCAGCCCTCCTTAGGCCAGCAGGAAGCTGGGGATAGCCAAGGCCCATAGAAGAGAGGAAGGAAGTGGCCCAAACAGAAACAAGAGAAATGCCCAGGTTGCTGCTTCTTTGCTTCTCTCAGGGTGTTGGCAGGGGTTGGCGTGTGTCCTCTGGCAGAGATGCATGTAGGGCTATAGCCTAGACTAGAAGGGGTGAGGTGCTGAGAGGGGAGGAGGCAGAGTGGAACCTAGACCATGCCACCCAACCTGGGCCCTCCCCATCTGGGATGAGGCTTGGAAGGAAGCGGTTGGGAACTGTGGGCTGGTTCTGGGGCATACACGGAGGGCTAAGGGGCCTCCTCAATTGACAAAAGAGAAACAGACCCAGCACAAGACAGGGGAGTGGAGCTGGCCCTGAGAAGCCAACAGACAACTGGGTAGAGCAGGACAGGAGTCCCTGGTATCTTTCTCCAGAGAGCCCCTTGGTGGCTCTATGAGTCCTTCCTTGACTGACTGAGCTCTGGTAGAAGCCTGGGTGGGATGAAGCTCCAGGCGCCTTCCTTCTGATGTGGTGAGGGTGCTGGGCGCTGCAGCCCTGGCTCTCTGTGAGGCTCTCAGTGGTGGGACCCACCCAGCACCCTGGACAGCACCTCATGCTGGGCCTCTTATGGTTTATGGTGGCTTCCAGGTTTCCTGGGGCTTCCCTGTGGGTGGACCTTGCCTGGATTAAACCGCACTTCTGTTGAGTTGCTAGGTTCCCGAAGTCAGGGCAGAGAACATGGGAAGAGCCCTAAGGCCTGGCTGCTGCAGTCTGGGGCTTTTGTGTCTGCCACTCACCAGCATGAATGAGGAGGTGCGGTGTGTGTGTGTGTCACTGCATTCTTCTCTAGTTCCTCCCACCTGGATCTTCCACAGGGCGATTTTTGGAGGGCACAGCAGAGACCTAAGTGTTAACAGGGAAGGCGGGCACTAGGTAAGGGGGGTTGCTGGTCAGGTGAGGGATGAGAGAGGCTGGCCTGGGAAGCCAGTGAGATTGCCATGACACAAGCCTAAATTTTGTCCAAGAGTTCCTGAGGAGATGGTCCCTGATGGGAGTTCTTTTGGGTTTCATACTCCTAGCCCCTGTCCTGCCTACTGAGCCCAGTGTCTCTGCCTTCTTCCAGGTCTACTGAGTCCCAGGAGCAGCCAGAGTGGGTCAGAGGCAGTGGCTGCCATGGAGGAAAACAAGTTCCCAACTCCACTGCCCACAGACAGCGGCGCCCCCTGGGACCCCAGCCTGGAACCTGAGTTAGAGCCTGGAATACAGAATGGAGTGGTGGCAAGTGAGGGCTTGAGTAGCTACCTCAGCTGCCCAGGGAAAGGGGAAACAGGAGCCCTGATGGATTCTGAGGAGCCCACAGTGCACCAGGATGCAGCTCTGCCTGACCTCAGCCTTGACCTCTCCATCACCAATGGCCTGGCACTGGGACCAGATGCAAATATTCTGGAAGATCTAACAGAGTCCAGGCCCTGGAGGTCTGAAGGGCTGGCAGAGGGGGACGAAGCCCCCGGGAGCCTCTGTCTAGAAGCTGAGGACCCTCAGCTGGGGTAAATGGGTGTCTCGGAAGGGAGGGGGGGTCACATTTCCAACTCCATTACTCTGCGATCTTGCCTCTTAGTCTCTCTGGTTCTTGATTTTTCATATACATTGGGGATTTGATGTTTTTTTCTTTTTTTGTCAGTCGTGGGGCCTGAACTCTGGGCCTGGGCTCTGTCCCTCAGCTCTTCAGCTCAAGGCTAGTGCTCTACCACTTGAGCCAATGCGCCACTTCCGGCTTTTTTCTTTTTGCTTATGTGGTGCTAAGGAATCGAACCCAGGGTCTCATGCATGCAAGGCAAGCGCTCTACCACTGAGCCACCTTCCCAGCCCCTTGATGTTCTTATTTTGTCTAGCTTCTATGTGTTTTGGAAGGAAGAGCCATGAAAGGGAATTCAAAGGCCAGCCCTCAGCTGCCCCCTTCCTCCTCCCACAGAGCCATTATGACTTGTTCCTATGTGTAGGAGGGCTGTACTCCCTCCATCCCAGCCACATTGGAGTTCCAAGTCCTTTTGAAAGGTCTTGATGTGGAAGATCATCTGGTCCACTTCTTCTCCCCCTTCCTGGAGATTCCCAGAAAAACTCCCAGCTCTGCAACTGGGCCCAGGAAAGTAGATGTTCATCCACTATCCCCCCAGGAGGTTGTCCTCAGAAAGTTCCACCGGGAATCGCACTCACCCACTCACTGGAGTTAAAACCCTGTCTCTTATCCTCTCTAGGGAGCAGAGAGACTGGAGCCTTGGGGGTGCCATTGTGCAAAGGAGGGTGGGGATGGGCAGGGGGAAGTGTAGGAAGTCTCAAGGAAGATTGACAAGACAGCATGCAGAATGTGTGCAGGTGTGTGCCTGGCAGTACACTGGTGGGGGCCACAGGGATGTCTTTGCATGTTGGTATGTGTGGAGCTCTGTGGTTGGCTACGAGAGGGATGTTGCAAGTGGGAGTAGTGTATTCTCTAGATGTTCAGGTGGCCACCAGCAGCTAGCAGTGGCTAGAGTGGGGGCAGAGGCTGAGGCTTCCTAGGATATCATCTTTATTTATCTAAGATGGCTGAAGGAAGGGGCAGATGGAGTTTTGAATATTGTGCTGATGGTTTGTGGGCTCCTCAGCTCTGTCTAGCTGCATGAGGAAATAAGACATGGTGGTATCATTTGAGATGAGAACCATAAGGGTAAGGCAGTCTTATTTGGATGTCCCCAATACTTAACATCGGCCTGGGAAGACTTTGGCCTTGTGAAACTTTAATTTGGGGAGTGGAGAGCATACTAAACAAGGAAACATACAGAATATGACAAGCTGAGAAGGGCTAGTGAGGACATGAAGACAGCCCGAGGACACAATACAGGGGAGATGCTGGCATGGCATTGGCCGGTCCCCCTCTTGTGGCTGGCTAAGAACATTCCAGGCTGTAAGGACAGCAGAGTTAGGAACCTGTGTGACACGAGCTGCAGCAGGGAGAAGTGCACACTGCTCTGGGAGCAAAGAGGAAGCAGCCCCGCAGGCCAAGTCAAGACAAGAGGCCTCCCAGTCCATTAGTCGAGTATCTCATGCCTACGGTGGCCTAGGTAGGCCTCGGATCCTCCTTTTCACTGCTGCATCTCAATCCCCATCCAGCATCTGGGCTCTTAGGAAGTTTTGTCCAAAAAACAACAAGAATATAGCCAGGTGCAGACTAGGAGGTGGGGTCACCTCCTCTGTAGAGAGGAACACCCGAGAAAGATGGTGATGGGGTTCTTGTCTCTCACAGGTTGGATGGCCCTGGAGAGCCGGATGTGCGGGATGGCTTTAGTGCCACATTTGAGAAGATTCTGGAGTCGGAGCTGCTGCGAGGCACCCAGTACAGCAGCCTTGACTCCCTAGATGTGCTGAGCCTGACGGATGAGAGCGACAGCTGCGTCAGCTTCGAGGCCCCCCTTACACCCCTCATTCAGCAGCGGGCCCGAGATAGCCCTGAGCCCGGAGCTGGACTGGGCATGGGAGATATGGGGTCCGAGGGGGACATGGGAGCGGCTGGTGGGGATGGGGAGCTGGGCAGCCCGCTGCGGCGCTCCATCTCCAGCAGCCGCTCAGAGAATGTCCTGAGCCACCTGTCTCTCACGGCGGTGCCCAATGGATTCCATGAAGACGAGCCTCGGGCCCCAGGTGGAGAGGAGGAGGATGAGGATGAGGACACAGACAAGCTGTTGAACTCAACCAGGTGAGGGCGGGGGGCAGAGGCTGGGAATAGGTGGGAAAATGGAGAACCAGAGGAGGTAGTGACCAGATGGCCAAAATTTGATAAGCCCTCTCCAAGGTCACCTTTCTCCATCCTCTGCATCCAGACTTCCCATCTAGGTCCTGGGGTCCCATTTTGCTTTTCTGGCTTGCTCCACTCAGATGGGGTCAGGGAGCAGTGCTGAGGGCATATACTCTGGGCCTTTCTGGAAGCTAACTTGGTGTTCTCCTGCTATGGTGGAACCTTTTCCCCTGCTCGGTTCCTCCCTGCAAGTGTGTCTCCGCTTCACCCAGGGCCTCTGCTCCGGGCCTCTTATCCTCTCCTCTCCATCTGCAGTGACCCCAGCCTGAAGGATGGCCTGTCAGACTCAGACTCAGAGCTGAGCAGCTCAGAGGGCCTGGAGCCTGGCGGCACAGACCCACTGGCCAATGGGTGCCAGGGGGTCAACGAAGCTGCCCATCGATTGGCTCGCCGCCTCTACCACCTCGAGGGCTTCCAACGCTGTGATGTGGCTCGGCAGCTGGGCAAGAAGTAAGTAGGCCTTCCACACCTCAGGAAAATCCACTGTCTTCCCCAGAAAGAAGGGGACGGGAGTGGCTGGCGTTTTTCAAGGGTGTCTGGTGCTAGGGGGCTCCTGAGTCCCTCAGGGTACTTCTTCCTGCCACTGTCCTCATTCCTGGCCTTGCCCTAAATGTATTTCCTTTCTGAGCTGCTTGGGTGAAGGCTGTTGCTCTTAGGGAGGGGAGGGTGGTGGGCAGGCACTCTGTGCTTGGGAATTGGATGTAGTTATGGGGTCACCATGGGTGCTGGTGGAGGAGGAGCAGCCAGTCAGGGGCTAGTTTCCTACCAAATGGGGCTAGAGGGAAAGGAGAACCTAAGGGGGAGATAAAGGAGATGTCTGAGAGCTCCAGAACTTAGAAAGTGGGTCCCCAGCTCTCCTTAGGCCGTAATATCTATTCGCACCAGCAAAAGGGTCTGGAAGCCAGGCACTGTTGACTCATGCCTCTAATTCTAGTTACTCAGGAGGCCAAGATCTGAGGATCATGGTTTGAAGCCAGCCTGGGCAGGAAAGTTTGTGAGACCCTTATCTCCATTTAACCAGAAAAAAAAAACAAACAAAAAAGCCAGTAGTGGAGCTATGGCTCAAATAGTAGAGTACTTCAAGGGTACTGCCCAGGCCCTCAGTTCAAGCCCCAAGACTGGCATATGTACACACAAAATGGTCCAGAGCCAGGTGCTGGTGGTTCATGACTGTAATTCTAGCTACTCAGGAGGCTAAGATCTGAGGATTGTGGTCCAAAGCCAGTCTGGGTGGGAAAGTCCATGAGACACTTCTCTTCAGTTAACCACCAGAAAACTGGAAGTGGAGCTGTGGCTCATAGTAGTAGAATTCTAGCCTTGGGGGAGGGGGGGTGGGGAAGCTCAGAGACAGCGCTCAGGCCCTGTGTTCAAAACCTACGACTGATTAAAAAACAAAAAACAAAGTAAGGGTCTGGAAGCTCCAAGGCCCAGGACTATTCAGGGTGGGTGCAAAGAGAACTGGGCACATGGGGTGTAGTGGGCAGAGACTGAGGATGAGGGCTGGTGGTACTGCCTAAGCCTGCCTGACTGCAGTATGTCCCTGACCTCTGGCCTCTTGATGCAGAATGCCTCTATTACTCTAAGAAGGCTTTGAGAAGGGGAGAGCAGACTTGGTCTCCCATACTCACAAGGCTAGGGAGTATGGACTTTGGGCTCCTCTTCTGGCTCCCGCCTTTTCTACCCTCTGCAGCCTCCTTGTCATTCCTGTTCTGGGAGCCCCCTGAAGTCCTAGTTTGAAAATCACACCCCCTTCTCTAATTACCTCCTTCTACCTGGCAGATTGCAGGAACCTTTCCAAGATTGCTCCCTCCCCCACCCCACCCCCAACTTCTCCCTCGGCAGGCATCTTCCCTGCCACCTTTACTTAACCAGAATTCTCGGTTTTTTTGGCCATGGGCAGCCCCCCTCTCTCTCCTCCGTACTCAGTGTCTCCACTTTGGAAACTTTCCTTTTCAAGATCGCTGGGGACATGGTGTCTGAATCTGCTGGCTGCTACCCAGGCCACCTTCATCGGCATTGACACAACCAGTCACTTCTAACTTCTTGTAGTTACTGACAGCTTTTCTTCTGGTGGAGTTGGGAGGTCAAACCAGGGCCTTGCATGTGCCAGGCAAATGCTCTACCTCCAATCCCTCTTTAAACATTGTAGTATGAAAATTTCCATTCATACACAAAAGCAGAGAGACTAATACATGAAATCTCCATCCGTCCAAAGCTATCAATGTTTTTTTCCAATCTAATTTCCTGATTTCTTCTATCACAACAAGGTCCTTTATCCACTTGTCAAAGTTCCTTTTTTTTAATTTTGGTGGGTGGGGGGTGTTGGGTGTGTTGGCACTAGGGCTTCAATTTAGGGCCTCTTGCTCTTGCTTGGCTTTTTGTTGTTGTTGAGGATCTTGGAGCTCGAACTCAGGGCCTGCGCACCGTCCCTGAACTCTTTTTGATCAAGGCTACATTCTATTATTATTATTATTTTTTTTTGTCGGTCGTGGGGCTTGAACGCTGCCTTGTGATCTTCAGCTCAAGTCCAGTGCTCTACTGCTTGAGCCACAGCTCCACTTCCGGTTTTCTAGTGGTTTATTGGAGATAAGAGTCTCATGGACTTTTCCTGCCTGGGCTGGCTTTGAATCTCAATTCTCAAATCTCAGCCTCCTGAGTAGCTAGGATTATAGGTGTGAGCCACTGGCGCCCGGCTAGCATTCTACCATTTTGAGCCACAATTCCACTTCCAGTTTTCTAGTGGTTAACTGGAGCTAAGAGTCTCATGGACTTTCCTGTCCAGGCTGGACTTGAACTGTGATCATCAGATCTTAGCTTCCCTAAGTAGCTAGGATTATAGGTGTGAGCCATGAGCATCCAGCTTGCTTGGCTTTTTTTGGTTCAAACCACTTGAGCCACACTTCCACTTTCAGCTTTTTGCTACTTAATTGGAGATAAGAGTCTCTCAAATTTGTCTTCTTGGGCTGGTTTTGAACTAAAATCCTCAGATCTCAGCTTTCCGAGTAGCTAGAATTATAGGCATGAGTCACTGATGCCAGCTTACTGGCTAAAATATTTTAGTGTATTTCAGATACTGTATTATTGAATCCAGAAGTGCCTCAATATATATCTCTAAATGATAAGAGATTTCTTTCTTTCTTTTTTGTTGGTCATGGGGCTTGAACTCTGGGCCTAAGCACTATCCCTCAGCTCTTCCACTCAAAGCTAGCACTCTACCACTTGAGCCACAGTACCACTTCTGATTTTCTGTTGGTTTATTGGAGATAAGGGTTTCATGGCCTTTCCTGCCTGGGCTGGCTTTGAACCCAATCTTCAGCTTCCTGAGTAGCTAGGATTACAGGCGTGAGCCACTGGTGCCCAGCTGATAAGAGATTTCTAAAAAAATAGTTATAATTCCATTGTAATTTTTAGACAAAAATATCAAAATATTCTAATCATCTTAAACATTCTGTCTGTGTTTAGTTTTCTCTATCTAAAAACCAGTTGGTTTTGTCAAATCAGAACAAGATCCACAGATTGCATCTGGCCTTATGTTTCATTCTTCCTTTATTATTATTTTTTGCCAGTCCTGGGGCTTGAACTCAGGGCCTAGGCACTGTCCCTGAGTCTCTCTGTGCTCAAGGCTAGCACTCTACCACTTGATCCACAACACCACTTCTGACTTTTTCTGTTTATGTGGTGCTGAGGAATCGAACCCAGGGTTTTACACATGCTAGGTAAGCACTCTACCACTAAGCCACCTTCCCAGCCCTGGCCATATGTTTCTTAAGTGTTATTTCTTTATTTATTGTACTGGGGGAGTTTGAACATGTACTTGCACATTCTAGCTACCATAGAGTCCTATCACCAGCCCTCTTAATTGTCTTTTAATCCACAACAGTTCTCCCTTCTGACCGTATACTTGGATTTGAACTAAGGGCCTCACGTTTGGTAGGCAAGTGCCCTTGATCCTTTAATCCCTGCTTCCCAAGATGCTGGGATTACAAGCTTACTTGGCTACCTCTCTTTTAAAGTCATTAGTCTTTGGGAGAGTTCCCATATTTTCTATGTGGAATCCTCATGGTGTTATTTTACATGTTTGCCTATTTGCCATGGGTTCTGTGAATTGGCAGGAAAGCTTGAGGCTTGATTAGGATCAGGTGGCAATTTGTTCCATTTTTTGGCAAAATTATTCATTTTAGTCTTCCTAAAACATATTCTTCATTGGCCTCCAGGATGACACACAGTTTCCTCTCCACTTCTGGCTTCTTTGCTGGCTCTCTCCTCCTTTACCTCCCTCACCAGGGCTTTCCTCAGAGCTCTGCCCTGGGCTGCTGCCTGACTTCGTTCCTCTCCCCCCACACCCAGCACTTATTGGCCTTGTGGATGATGACTTATGATAAGTCTTTATCCTGATGACTGACATTTCCCATTTCCATTCATGCCCTATAATCCAATCCATCTCTCTTTCTGGTAGACGAAGCCTCCTAAATCTTTGCCCCATCTCAGACAACCTTACAATGGATGTTTACCTAGCAGGTGGTATTTCAAAATTCACATCGTACTATCCTGATTCAAAATCTACACAATCCCATCCTGACTCTTTCTTGGATCTGCAGGTTCAATTCCCTGCCTCACCTCTTGCTTCCCCCTTCCTGCTCTCCAGGGACTGGCTACATGGCCTTGTGGGTAGCTTCCTCTGATGGACACACCTGGCACCATTCTACCCCCTACTGCCTTCACCTGATGACTCTTACTTTCCTAAGTGTGTTAAGATATTGCTTCTTCTAGGAAGTCTTCTTATTTTATTTTTGATGGTACTGAGGTTTGAACTCAGGGTTTTGTGCTTGTTAGGCAGGCATTGTACTATTGAGCCACATTTTAGCCCTGTTTTCACTAGTTATTTCTTTTTTTTTTCTGGTTAGAGATAAAATTTTTATTTTTATTTTTATTTATTTATTTATTTTTTTGGGTCCGGTCATGGGGCCTGAACTCTGGGCCTGGGCGCTGTTCCTCAGCTCTTCAGCTCAAGGCTAGCACTCTACCACTTGAGCCACAGTGCCACTTCCGGCTTTTTTCTTATGTGGTGCTGAGGAATCGAACCCAGGGCCTCAAGCATGCAAGGCAAATACTCTACCACTGAGCCACCTTCCCAGCCCCAGAGATAAATTTTTTAGTAGTTGCATTTGCTAACTAAAATAGCAAGGTTCAGTCTCCCTCTGTGGTGAACATATCTCACTGGTTCATTAGTTATTTCTGAGATAGGATCTCACTTTGTGCCCAGATCCATGTCTGTTTCACAATCTTCTTATTTTATACTTCCCATTATAGTTGGGATGACAGATGTGTACCACCATGCTTAACTTTCTTTCATTAAGATGGAGTCTTGTGGACTCCATCTTGTGGACTTCTGCTGCTCTGGCTGGCCTAGAACTTAAATCCTCTTAATCTCAACATATCAGATATGGAACGGCATGCTATTGGTGCCACAATGCTCAATTATTGATTGAGAAGGAATCTCACATGTATGTCTAGGCTGGCCTCTGAAATCCTCCTGATCTTAGTCTCCTAAATAGCTAGGTTTGTAGGCAAAAATTAGAGCACCACTGGCCAGCAGGGGGAAGCAGATCTGGACGAGTGTGCCAGCATACTCTACTCTGGGGCCAACTCCCTAAGTACCTCCTATAGTTTTATTATCCTTGGATTGGACCCTGCTTCTAACTGGCTTCCTGTGCTTTTTTGTTTGTTTGTTTTTGTTGTCGTTGTTGTTTTGGCAGCAATGAGTTTAGCAGGCTGGTCGCTGGGGAATACCTCAGTTTCTTCGACTTCTCAGGCCTCACTTTGGATCGAGCACTCAGGTCAGTGGGGCTGGGACCTGGCTGGGACAATGCCTAGGGGCGATATGGTCAGCATATCTGGATTCGCATTGCAGTTCTATCAAAACTTCTGCATAACTGGGCAAGCCTCTCTCTCTCTCTCTGTTTATTTTTGAAATTAGCTTACATAAGTTATACAAGGGAGACTTTGACTAGGACATTTCCATGCATGCATGTATGCAATGTATTCCAATCAAACTTCACCCCCCTCTATCCCTCTGTCTTACCTGATTTCCCTTTCTTCTGCCATCTTCACCCTCATCCACTCTCTCTGTTTAGTGGGAAAGTTGCTTGGCTTTCTGGTGCAGCATGGAGAAAGGCCTGAAGAGCAACAGTAGTTCAATCATTCAGTGAGTGCCAGCTATGTGACAGTGTGAGGATCTGCAGGTGGGAGAGTGGTCAGGACTCTTGAGGGGAAGAGAGAAGGCAGAGGGCCTGTCCTGCTTCCCACATCCATAGACACTTATGCACCCTGTCTACTAGGTACCACCATTCCTATTTTCTCAGGTCAGGAAATTTGGCAAAGGTAAGAGACTGCCTGACAGTCACTAAAGTGGGAGGGGAGTGGTGAAGATTTCATTCCATCTCTTACTGGTGTCTGGACCCAGGAAACAGGCCTCAGGGTGGCCAGGAGCAGGCCACAGGGTCAGGATGGGTGAGGTAGGTGGCTGTAGTCTATGATGACCAGAGACCAGCTGCAGGGGGAAGTGACAATCTTGTCTAGGAGGAATATACAGTAGACCAGAGCAAAATGTGAGTGGTCCATTTTATGGTCCTCTTACGTTGTCCTGTTTAGCTCCATTTGTGTGTGTGTGTGTGTGTGTGTGTGTGTGTGTGCGTGCGCGTGCATGTGCGTGCGTGCGCACACTGATACTGGGGCTTGAGCTTAAGGTCTTGTGTTCTTGCTTGGATTTTGCACACAAGGCAAGGCTGGCACTCTGCCGCTTAAGCCACATTTCTACTTTCAGCTTTTTGCTTGTTCATTGGAGATAGTCTTTTGGATTTATCCGCCTGGTATAGCTTCAAGCCTGGATCCTCAGATCTCAGTCTAGATACTGGAACTGGTGGGTCATGTATACCAAACCAACACTGAGGCACAGGCACTGGGGAGCACAGAGGTGCTGGGAGTAAGGCAGCACGAGCAGCCGTGGTGTGCATGCTTTTGAAGAGGGTCAGGTGGGAGAGGACTAGGCCCGAGGCTGGAGATAGAGGGAAGGTTGCTCAGAGGCTAGAATAGAAGGACTGCTGGGGCAGAGATGAAAAGGCTGAGCCCGAGGATAGCTGAGACTGTGGGGGTGGGAGGGTGGGGATGCTTGGTGGGGCTTGGTGAAGAGGCCTGGAGAAGGGAGGGTGGGCTGGAGAGGAGGATCTGGGATAGGTGACTCCTCAGAAGAACCAGCTAAGGCTGGATGGAGTCTACATTTCCAGAAGAATTAATGGAGTTTGAGAAGAGGAGGGAGGGGACAAGTGGGGAAGAGGACAGGGAAGGGGGAGACAGAGAGGGTACAGAAAGCAGAGGTGAGATTGGAGAGTCTTTGCATTAAAAAACTGGTCTGTAGTTGGGCTGTCTTAAGGCCTGCTGAGAGGAAATGCCAGCAAGGAGATAACTTGAAGGTCCCTGAGGTCCCTAGGAGGCAGCCCAGAAGGGATGCAGAGAAGTGGGCAGTGTAGGTTTAGAGATGTTCCGGTCTCATGAACCCAGGGCAGATAAGGCCCAAATGGACACAACCTACAGTTTCCTTGCAAGTTCCAAGAGAAGGAAAATTGCCCAGGCTCTTGGCATGGTTGCCAGGTGAGGGACCCAAGCCCATTTCCCGATCTGTTTGGCGTTGGGATCAGCATTAGGGTCATCTCCTAAGCAGTGGATGACCTATGTGAGGACTCGAGGCAGATTACGAGCATAGGAAAGCTGCCCTGGGAGAGCCCAGAGGCACAGAGCATTGAGTGAGGCTGTCCCATTCAGCGGGGTCAGAGAGGCACCAGGTGAGTGTGCAGTTAGAGGCTCAGGAAGGGAGCCAGCAATCAGTGAACCCACCATGTGTTACTCTAAGGGTCTTGGGAGCCAGAGACAGGTTTTAGGCAGCAGGGATGCCCTCAAACTCACAATCCTCCTGCCTCAGCCTCCTCAGTGCTGAGATTGTAAGTGAGAACCACTGTGCCTGCTCCACCTTCCTCTGTAGAAAAGGTTTCTGCAGGGCAGAAGCTGTGGAGGGCAGGGATGCCTATTGGGAGGTGGCAGCAGGCCTCTTGAGCGTTCCATGAGGGTGATAGAGGAGGCATTGAGATGAACGTGAAGCCCAAACCACCAGGACTTGGTGACAGTTGAGACTTAGGATGTAAAAAGGAATGAGAGGGTCGAGGGCTGGGCCTGGACCTCAGCTGAAAGAGCAGAATTACTGAGGATAAGTGTTGTGAGGGGAGAGTTGGAAGGCCTGTGCTCCACAGTGGAGGGGGAGTGAGACGTTCATTCACCCCAAGGAGAGAAATGCTCATGTGTCCCTCCTTCACAGGGGTCCTGAGTGGGGGTAGGGGTAGCCAAGCTCTCTTGGCTTCGGGAACTGGAAAAGGTGTGAAACCTTGAATGGAATTTGGGAGCTCTGGCTCTTTGTTTTGTGTGTGTGTGTGTGTGTGTGTGTGTGTGTGTGTGTTAAGGCTTCTATTCCCTATGAGGATCCAGACTGACTCGGGGGCTCTGGGAGATCCTTAGCAGTTTGGAATTGCTTTCCAGAACTTTCCTGAAGGCCTTCCCACTGATGGGGGAGACACAGGAACGTGAGCGTGTCCTTACACACTTCTCCCGCCGGTACTGCCAGTGCAACCCTGATGACAGCACCTCGGAAGGTAGGGAAGCCGCCCTGCTCTGCCCCCCCCTCCTGCCCACCACTTCTCTGTGGGATTTAGTTGGTGCTCAATGAGCATGAATGAACTACTGATGGCACTTGGAATGGATGAGAGAGCCCTACAGATCCTGACCATTGCCTTTCCCAGGCCCTGGGTGTCCTCTGTCCTAGGGCTTCAGTTGTACGGGTGTTCACACTCCCTGGTCCTGTCACAGGCTCAGCTTTGGCATAGTAAGGGTCCTGGTGTGGAGAAGGGTGGGTCAGGGTCCTCTTAGAGGTAGGGTCTGTGGATGGACCTGAGTGTCAGGTACTGAGGGACAAGACCCCTAAGACTAGCACAAGGGCATGGGCCTGGGACCCAGAACCATTGGTGGGGAGGCAGGAGGCAACTGTCTGGGCTAGAGCAGGTGCAGGGTAGTCAGGTTCCCTCTAAGGGACAGGATATCCTGACTGGGACAGTCAAGTGGACTGGCAGGGAGCACAATGTGAGCGAGCCCAGGCTCTGTGGTGCCTTGGCAGGTAGCCTCTTCCATCTCCACAGCTTCCAGGCTGGCTCTCCTGCGAGACAGGTTGGTGGCTGGGGGTGAGGGGAGGCAACGTGCCCTTCCACTGAGAATGCCACTGTCTCTGATTTAGATGGGATCCACACACTCACCTGTGCCCTGATGCTGCTCAACACGGACCTACATGGACATGTGAGTGAGGGGAGAAGGGACATGACCTCTCATTGGCTCGCCCGAGTCATCTGACCCTTTGCCCAGTTCCCAGACAGAGACTTCTTGCTCAGTGGCAGTGCTTCTTTTAGCAGACCTGAGTGTGGGGCATTCAGTTCTGTCCAAGTTTTGTCCATGTGAGCCTTGCCTAGGTTCTGGTCCCCAAGCGGAACAGTGAGAATGCTTGAGCATGGGGCATTTAGGACATGGCAGATAAGATGGGATGCCCCTTGTTGGGTCCAGACCCTTTATTGCTGAATGACTGGGGCCTTACCTTGCCTCCCCTGCAGCCTTGATGAGATGCCACACCCCACTCAGGTAGTGCTAGGTGACCTTCAAGAGGCCTTGTCATTCACTTCGCCCTCTCAGTCTTGACTGTGAGACTGGTGGGTCCAAGTCCCAATCTTTCTTAAGACTTCTCTCAGCTCACTAACTCCGTCTTCTTTCCTTGGTTGCTGCGGGCCCCTCTGGGCTCTCCTGTCCTCCCTCCCTCAGGTGGTAAGTGCAGCTAGTGGTGTGCATGCCCTGTGTGCCCCCCACCCCATCTCCATCCACCCTCTGTGTCCCCATCACACCATCTAGCCCTACCCCCTGCCCCATCATTGTTCATGCTGGGCTGGCTAAGCCCCTTCGATTGTGTTGGGACATTTCAGAACGCAAAACACTGCATTAACCAGGGAAGTCTGGGCAATGTGGGGTGGAATGAGATAACCATACTTCACACCTTTTCCCTTGCCACTGTGTGGCAGCTGTGCAATTCTGGGCAAACCACTGGCCCTCTCTTAGTCTCAGGGTTTACATCTGCTGGGAGGGGGAGGGTCACGATTTCCCCCCCTAGAATCCTGGAGAGTGGTAATTGACACAACACCTGTCCTGGCTTCTAGTAAGGATTTTTATTATGAGTAGTATTATTACAGGAGAATAACAATAGTACTCATTGTTAATCTTAAAACTTAACGATGGCCAGCCTGAAGGTCCAGTCTCTTAGCCCTTTTAAAGCAGGCATGGGAGAGGAGGAACAGCATGGGCTGGGCTCTAAGGCATACATGGGTGTTTGGCCCTATGAGGGCTCAGTGCCCTTGCTAGGAAGAATAAACAAATGACAACTTTGTCTGAGGTAGCTTTGGCCTCAGTGTGTATGGAAGGGAGAGAAGACACGGTGAGCTCTTGGCTAGCAGACCCAGGGGTGGTGGTTCTTAGCTGGCCATGGTCCCACCTTAATGCTGTAGCTGAGGAGGAATGTTTAGGCGAGGAGCAGGTGGAACAGGCCTTCTGTACTCTTGAAGCTTTCCTTCCTAAGGCAAAGTTGCCTAACAACTAGGACAAGGGTTCTGGGTCAGGTTTCCTGTATTTCTTCACATGGCAGCTGTGTAGTGGGAGGTGTGTTCCTACCTCACTAAGCTCTACTTTTCTACCATCAAGTCCTGGCCCCAGAGGATTAATGGAGACAGCACAGGTGGGTGCTTTGCCCAAGGCCTGGTGGTGCAGGAACCGGGGACTCTTCAGAGGGCTCCAGGCCTGCTTCTGTTCCCCATGCCACCTCTGCTTCCCACAGGGATTGGGTACCTGGTGCAATGTGGTGATCTTAGTAATGTTGGTCCCACCAGTGTCCCCAGAAAAAGCTCCCATCAGAGGGGGAAGCAGGATAAGGGCTTCGGAGGATGTGAATGTGCCTGCCAGATGGACATGGCCTGGATGTGGAGGTGGGAAGTTTTCCTGTGGGAGGATGTCCAGACTGGAGGGAGGAGCCTCAGTGACCTGTCTCCAGAACAACTTCTGGGTTCCTTGAACAAGACAGGAAAAGGAAGCCTGCCTCAGGCTCCTTCTAGTTAGGACAAGTGGTTACAAGCAGTGGGTATGAAGGGAATAAAAAGACATTATGGAGGTTGAACTGGGGGTGTGTGTGTGGGGGAATCACAGAAGGCCCTGAGCATCAGCAGGAGCCACCCACAGAAAGATCTAGGATGACATGGTCCAGGTAAAGGGGCCAGAAAGGCTGATTTCCATCTTTGGCTATCATGGCAGGGCTGCTATGTACAAGTTTGTATTTGAACATCTGTTTTTAGTTCTTTTCGGTCTATACCTATGAGTGGACTTGCTGGACCATATTTATGGTCACATAATTCACATAAATTGTGAATTCCAAGTTTTATCTATCTATCTATCTATCTATCTATCTATCTATCTATCTATCTATCTATCTATCTATCTATCTATCTATCTATCTATCTTGTCAGTCCTGGGGCCTGAACTCGGCCTAGGCGTTGTCCCTCAGCTCTTCAGCTCAAGGATAGCACTCTACCACTTGAGCCACAGCACCACTTCCGGCTTTTTCTGCTTATGTGGTGCTGAGGAATCGAACCCAGGGCCTCATGCATGCAAGGCAAGCACTCTACCACTGATCCACCTTCCCAGTCCCACTTTTTAAATTTTTTTTGTGCCAGTTATGGGACTTGATCTCAGGGCCTGGGCACTTTCCCTGAGCTTTTTCTATCCAGGCTAGTGTACTTCACTTGAGCAGTAGCTCCACTTCTGGCTTATTGGTGGTTAATTGCTTGGGCTGGCTTCAAACTTTAATTCTTAGATTTCAGCCTCTTGATTAACTATGATTACAGGTGTGAACCACTGATATTCAGCTTAGGTTTTACTTTTTTTGTACTGGTTCTGGGGTTTGAACTTAGGGCCTAGAAGCTGTTCCTGAGCATTTTTGGTTAAGGCTAGCATTCTACCACCTGAACCACAACTCTACTTCTGGCTTTCTGGGTCTTAATTGGAGATAAGAATCTCATGAGTTTTCTTGCCCCAGCTGGCTTTGAACCACAAGTCTCAGATAGCAGTCTCCTGAGTAGCTAGGATTATAGGCCTGAGCCACTGGTACTCAAGTTTTACTTTTTGAGGATTCACAAAACTTTTTCCAAGGTGGCTGTTAGTTTGGGTCCAGATGGGAGATGAATGATGGTGGCATGGCTGGCAAGGTCATCTCTGGATGGAGAATCTCACAGGGCTTGCTGATGGAGTTGGCCGGTTGAAGAAGGTATAAGAACACTTTGGCATCTGGCTGGCAAGTGCTGTCACTCTGGGTGTCAGCAAAAAAAATTCTGTGTGTAGGGAAGGAAGTTCTGCATGAGTGGGAGAGGTGAAACTCAAGTCTCATTTGTGACATGCTGTGTGGGAGATGTAATATGGGGACTCCAAGGTGGCAGTGGATCAATGAGTATGGAAGGGTGTGTGTATGTGTTGTGTGTGTGTGTGTGTGTGTGTGTCACTTTAATCCTGATGGATCTTAAAGGCATGAGATTGTATGAGTGTCCTGAGAGGCAGGCAGGCTGATGGCCAAGTCCTGGGGCCTGGTTTTAAACAGTCAGGAGAGGAAGATCAGAGGAAATTCGTGTGTGTGTGTGTGTGTGTGTGTGTGTGTGTGTGTGTGTGTGTGTGTGTGTGTGAGTGAAGCCAAGAGAAGATAGTATGTGGAGAAAGGAGTGATTGACAATGGGGAAGCAAAGTTGAAGAGAGAATCATGATGTGTATGTTTTGGGGTGTTGAGGATTAAGAGAAAGAGCAGATGTGTGGGTCATGTTGGAGAATGGATAGCAAACATACTAGGAAAGTATAACAGTATAACAGTGTGGTCGGGATGTCTAATGCCCATCTCATCATGGTCACAGATATAAGATGGGACCAGTTAACCTGACTATGTATTCTTCTCCAAGTTTCTTCATCTGGTTGGTTTTGGATCCAGGCATAGTATCAGAACTAGTTAGGTTTTATCAGGGTAGATATTTTCTTTCTTTTTTAAAAAATGTTGTTATAGGGGCTGGGAAGATGGCTCAGTGGTAGAGTGCTTACCTTGCATGCATGAGGCCCTAGGTTCGATTCCTCAGCACCATGTAAGCAGAAAAAGCTGGAAGTGGCACTGTGGCTCAAGTGGTAGAGCGCTAGCCTTGAGCTGAAGAGCTAAGGGACAGCACCCAGGCCCAGAGTTCAGGCCCTATGACTAACAACAACAACAAAAATTGTTATTATAAAGGTAATATACAGAGGGGTTACAGTTACATAAGCCAGGTAAAGAGTACACTTCTTTTTGGACAATGTCCCTCTTTCCCTTGCTCTCTTTCCAGTTTTTCTCTCCTTTCCGTACCCACAAGTTATATAGTTTTCAACATTTTCAACATAGTATCTAATGAGTACCACTATGGAATTTGTCACCTCCATTTCTGTGCCCCCTCACCCTCCCAAAAACTGATAAATGAATAACAGGATGAAAAGAAAAGACAACAAAAACAGTAACATAAAAAAAAAATCTCGTTTTCATTTCCTGGAATTCATTTCAAAAAGTAGTTTGTATAATCAGATACACATAGGCACTGTACCTTGTGTTTCTTACTTGTGTCCTCCTTTGGTCTCACAGTGTGAATGCCTAGAGTTCTTGTATAATTTATCATGTACGGTAGGTGTTTTCTAGGCAAATATGACAGAGGCAAAAAGGAAAATGTTCTGTAGAAGCGGTTAATGATGGAGCCTGTATCCTAAAGGGGGTCAAAATGACATTGGGGACACTTGATCTCAGCAGAGGGTCGACTGCTGGAGCGAGTGTTCTAGAGGGGGCTGGGATGGAGGGATGGGATAGAGATGAGGAGGGCATACTTCAGATGGGGTGTTGGAAGTGGTAGATCTTGGCTGTCAGGTCAGTGAATGATCCTGGGATGAGTTGGAAGGATAGTATGCCAGAGAAATGGTGACTTTTCAACCTCCAAACTGGAAAAGATGACAGTTTGGGTTAGAGTGGGAGAAAAGATGAAGAGAAAGACATTCAAGTATTTTGGGCTAGACATGGTGGTGGTGCATGCCTGTAAACCCAGCTGCTTGGGAGGCAGACACAGGAGGCTTGTGAGTTTGAGCCTAGCCTGGGAGATGTAGGCCTCTATCTGTGGGCCTGACTCAGGTGGTAGCATGCTTATCTAATATAAGCAAAGTCCTGAGTT